TTGTATATTAAGGGACTAAATAACACTACTGTATAACATTAATAATATATTAAATAACATTTAATTCGAGAATATTTTGATGTTTTATTTCCCAGTTTTGCTATTTTGTGACAACTTTTCAAACTTCTCGCGAATACTACGTATACTTCCGGTCGAGACATTAGACTCAGTATTACGTGATATACTACTCGATACCCTCTTAGGGATGGCACCTATTCATTGTAAACATAATTATATATTCTTGCTCAATTACAAATTATATTAGATTACCTGTATTTGCTCCGGGTTTTATATTTTCATGATGTGGAGAGACTGGACTTTCATTGTTTATTTTATCCATTTTTAATTTATGTGTTATTATTATGTTTTTAAAAACCAAATCTTCGGAATTGTGTTGATTTATGAATTTATTAAATGCACTAATATTTGAGTCAATAATGTCCTTGCTTAGTGACCATTTATCAAACTTATTTAATATATCATTACACTCTGGCCTAAGGTATGACTCATAGTTAACCATTGGTCTAAAAACATCTAGTATAGATTTAATGCTTTCTTGTAGTATTGTGCCAAGAGCAGAAAAGGGTAGCGTTTTAGTGATTTTAAGTTATAAAACTTATTTTTCAGTAAAATTTACTCGTTACAATAGTCAGCGTAGTACAAATAACGTTAAGATTCATTTTTAAAAAACAAAATATCGAATTATTTTGAATAGATAAATATATAGTTTTTTGTTTTTGTATTTAATTAACATATTTAAATGAGAACGTAAAATATGACTGTCCATTTTTGCAAAAACTCTGATTAGTGGAAACTAAATATTTGTTTCATAAAAAATGTATATTAATGCGAGTCATTAGTATATGGTCATCCAATATATTTTATATTAAAGGGTCAGTAAATTAATGATAATTATTTGTGAATTATGTATTTCAGGGATTTCTGATCACAAATCTTAGCGCTACAAACTTCGGACTTTGTATTGTGCTTTTATATTTAACCAGTTCACTTCCACTGAAATTAATAAATGATTTTTTTTAAAATTAATTACAAATACAATTCCTATTCAATACTTACTCTAATATAATATCAAACCATATATAAGATAACATTTTTTGAGAGAAATTAAAGGTTGAAAAGTCTATGGACTACACAAAAAATGTAAACTTCAATAATATAACTGATATATTGTTATAATTTATTATACAAATGATTAATAGAATATAACTAATAAATATGAGTTTATAATATAGAAAAAGATCAATCAATGAATAAAAATGAATGACTATTCATAAATAATTTCTAATTGAAAACAGAGTTTTTTCATTCAAACTAATAAAAGTTTTCAGACTTAGCTTGCATCGATTATTCATTGATTGATCTTTTGTATATTATAAACTCATAATATAGTGATATTGATGTTAAACAATTAAATACAGTATTTATATTGATTTAAACAATCGCTGGATAAGCTCATTGAAAAAGTGATCATGATGCTTTAGTTGTGATACAATTAATTCAAAACTTGTATCCTTAAGAATATTCCGATCTATAGCCCAATCTTTAGATTTATGCAAAACATGTGAACATTCAGGCCTTCGCTTCCATTGAGGGGTCGACAGCATTGACAGCAATATATTTTGCAATGAATTTAATTTTGTGTTTAGGATCTCATTCCAGGAGTAAATGCTTTCATTACTGTATAGAAGTTGTAAACATTTATTTATTATTACATTTTTTAAATTCTAATTTTTTGCATACCTATCAAGGTCAATAAAAAACAAATTCAAATCAAATATCCCTTGCCCAATTAATGCCAGACTATAAATGTACTTTATGTCCATATAGACCCTGAGCTCCTTCAGGTGCCTGGTACTTTATTGTGCCCACACCTGTAGTGTGTTTATCACGAGTCATATAATTGATAGATTTGTCGTGAACTGTAGCCAAACCAAAGTCACATAACTTAATAAATCTACCGTTCCTTACATTTTCAGCGATTAATATGTTTTTGGGTTTGAGGTCTCTGTGAATGATCTGTGGATTCAATTCATGCAAATACTGAA